ACTCCCGGTTTGCCCCAGGACCAGAGTCCATACCGCAGCGAGCTCATTGGTCTGTTGGCCGGTATAATGGCGGTCGATTGGCTCCTTGAGCAATGGTTCCCAAACATTTCGATCGGCCCCAAGGTGCGGATTGCTTGCGATGGCCTCTCGGCTATTGAGATGGCTTTTGAAGATCGTCCACTGTCTCCAACTGACGCCCAGTTTGACCTGGTATCGTCCATTTGGGAAGCGATCCTTCGGTCCTTGGTGGATTGGGCGCCCCAGCACGTGTATGGACACCTCGACAAGTCCAATCTCTTTGACGAACTTTCTTGGTGGGAGAAACGAAACCTTGAGGTGGATGGAATGGCGGTGGAGTATCGTAAGGAACTTGAGACGGTCCCCGATGAGATCGAGGTTCACGGTGACGAAGCCACCTTAGCTGATGCTCTGTTGGACGGTCGCCTGCGTGTGATCAGCGATGGATCCTTCAAGAACGAGTTGGGGACCGCGGCAGTTCAAATCCTGGTGAAGCATGGAGGATGCCATCGAATCATCATCCGGTGTCAGACTCCCGGTTTGCCCCAGGACCAGAGTCCATACCGCAGCGAGCTCATTGGTCTGTTGGCCGGTATAATGGCGGTCGATTGGCTCCTTGAGCAATGGTTCCCAAACATTTCGATCGGCCCCAAGGTGCGGATTGCTTGCGATGGCCTCTCGGCTATTGAGATGGCTTTTGAAGATCGTCCACTGTCTCCAACTGACGCCCAGTTTGACCTGGTATCGTCCATTTGGGAAGCGATCCTTCGGTCCTTGGTGGATTGGGCGCCCCAGCACGTGTATGGACACCTCGACAAGTCCAATCTCTTTGACGAACTTTCTTGGTGGGAGAAACGAAACCTTGAGGTGGATGGAATGGCGGTGGAGTATCGTAAGGAACTTGAGACGGTCCCCGATGAGATCGAGGTTCACGGTGACGAAGCCACCTTAGCTGATGCTCTGTTGGACGGTCGCCTGCGTGTGATCAGCGATGGATCCTTCAAGAACGAGTTGGGGACCGCGGCAGTTCAAATCCTGGTGAAGCATGGAGGATGCCATCGAATCATCATCCGGTGTCAGACTCCCGGTTTGCCCCAGGACCAGAGTCCATACCGCAGCGAGCTCATTGGTCTGTTGGCCGGTATAATGGCGGTCGATTGGCTCCTTGAGCAATGGTTCCCAAACATTTCGATCGGCCCCAAGGTGCGGATTGCTTGCGATGGCCTCTCGGCTATTGAGATGGCTTTTGAAGATCGTCCACTGTCTCCAACTGACGCCCAGTTTGACCTGGTATCGTCCATTTGGGAAGCGATCCTTCGGTCCTTGGTGGATTGGGCGCCCCAGCACGTGTATGGACACCTCGACAAGTCCAATCTCTTTGACGAACTTTCTTGGTGGGAGAAACGAAACCTTGAGGTGGATGGAATGGCGGTGGAGTATCGTAAGGAACTTGAGACGGTCCCCGATGAGATCGAGGTTCACGGTGACGAAGCCACCTTAGCTGATGCTCTGTTGGACGGTCGCCTGCGTGTGATCAGCGATGGATCCTTCAAGAACGAGTTGGGGACCGCGGCAGTTCAAATC